AGTAAGCGGGAACTGACAACTGTACTTCAGTAAGCGGAACTGACAACTGTACTTCAGTAAGCGGGAACTGACAACTGTACTTCAGTAAGCGGGAACTGACAACTGTACTTCAGTAAGCAGGGAACTGTCAACTGTACTTCAGTAAGCAGGAACTGTCAACTGTACTTCAGTAAGCAGGAACTGTCAACTGTACTTCAGTAAGCAGGAACTGTCAACTGTACTTCAGTAAGCAGGAACTGTCAACTGTACTTCAGTAAGCAGGAACTGACAGCTGTACTTCAGTAAGTAGGAACTGACAACTGTACATTAGTAAACAGGAACTGACAACTGTACTTTAATAAGCAGAACCGAGGATGAAGTGTAATTGAGGATTCGTAGAAGTCTTATTACTAACCTATAATCAACCTTCAATCAGCATTCAAATATATACGTATTTATTAATTAATTTCGAATTTACCTTTTAAGCACTTAAAATAATTTAATGCAAATTCCTTTCACCCATGAAACAAACTTTTTATTAATTATGGGAATTTTTAATTTCTTTATATGTGCTAATTTGTAACAAAAAAAATATAAATTTTTCAACTTCCCGATTTCCGTGAATAATTACCACAACTGCATACAAACGAACCTTAAAAAAATTAAGAGACACCTCACATAACAGAATGATGATTTAATTGAACTTACATGTGTCACTCCAACCCTGATTTCTCTACTGACATTAGAACTACCTTTAATCATCTCTCCTGCACCACCTTTCAAGAAACCAATACCACCACGAAGAAATCCCGAGGACATCAAAGCTAACACTTCTTCGAATGTTGCGAGGCGATTTTTACCCACTATAAAACAGTCAGTAATACAGTTTAAAAGCAAAATTTATTGAAAGCACACAATTTATTACCACTGATAAAACAGTCAATAGTTCAACTTACAAATAAAATTGAAGTGAAGCCCTATACTGGTTAACATCATGACTTTTTATATCTCTTTGTAATAGTATAAAATCATTTACTGTACAGCAAGTAATTCAAATAAACTATACAACTCTTGGCTTACAATTTTTAATTAAGTTGACCTTTCAAGCTTTTAAAATGAATATTGTTCACAGAAAATCATAAAACATGAGGTTATCATAGAGTGAAGACTGTAATGTTCTATAAAAATGTCTTTAATTTATATTTAAAATTATAATCCAGTACAATAACTTTCCTTTTTTGTTTCAAAACATATATAATTAATACTTGAAAAATACTTTTCTATGTAATAATTATTGTCTTTACATGCAAAACTACACAATGGGCTATCTGTACTGTGCCCACTGTTTATAAGTCCTCAAACTTACAACTGAGTCACCAGAGGACCGATTATTTTCAACAATTTATAAATATCTGTTTAAACACTTGAGAACATTAAAAACAAGTCTAGGCAAGGTTCGAAACGTGTGTTCAGCTATAGCATGAAACTTTTCAACAAATTTACATTTATAAAATTTTGGCCCTTCATCTTAAAAATTATCAAATTTATTCCTGTTTACAAACACACAATTACAATTTTCATTGTAAATCTTAATAATATGAACTCTATTTATTTATTTACAGATTCAACTAATGGAGTTCACAAATCTTACAGAATATTCTTAGCCGAGACACGTGGTTTTCATGTTGATCAAAATATCGAACAATTCTATGAAGCTGATGCATATATATATATATATGTATATATATATCAAGTATTCAAACAACAAAGACTATAATTATATTACCTTCTGTAAGCTGGGTTTAAATTAAAATTATTTTTTTCTTTCTTTAAATTAACTCTCATATTTCATATAAAGACGTAAAGCATACACAACGTAACAAAACCATAGCTTCATTATCTCTCTTCCTTGTTTATGAGTAGTTTTTGAGGATGAAAGAATATTTTATAAGCTACCACCATCCAGTCTGTGGAGATTAGCAAAAAAAAAAAGGTCAACGAAAGCTCAACATATGTTAAGCATCTGTTCAATAATAAACAAGGTATTCTAAACCCACCATAAAGTACATGTCACATGTAGGTGGTGAATATAGCTTCTTCTTTAAACACAATGCAAATATTGATAGGCTTTTTTGTTTATACATGAAACAGTGTAGCAACTATAATTTACTTCACCAACCTGCAGGCTGTGAAGCCTGTTGAGTGGTAGCAACAAGTGTTCCAAGCAGATTAGCAACAGCACATCGAACTTCGTAGTTAGACCCTTCAAAGGATCGAAAACACAGGGAAGCCACAGTCTCCAGTTCAGATGTATAAACAAATGGTACATGTTTCAGCATCTCCTGTAAACACTATGAGGAGACACAAACCAAAAAGTTTTCAATCAAATGATACACCCACATAAGTTAACAGTATCAAAAGTAAACATATCAGAGAAATACATAACCAGCAACATTTTTTATGACTTATTTATTGAAAATCATGGTATGAAAAAATTACTATACTGATATTCCTACCAAGTAAAACAATACCTTGAAACATACTATGTGTGAATTGAGCTCAAACAGTTAAATCATTACCTACTAAAGATTACTTATCCTAAGTTAGGAAAATATTACCAGAAGTACATTTATTCAGAAAAGTTAAACGACAAAGACAAGCTAATTGAGACTGGCTTACCTGGGCAGCTGCGCATCTTACTGGCATAACACGGTCAGTCATACAGTGCTTAGCAGCTTTAAAGATATCTTTATGAACAGATGCAGCAGCTGTTCCCATACCAGCAATAATCTTCTCCATAGTTACCATTGTTTCACAGCGAGTCTGTGACTGAAAATGTCAACAAATCAAAAAGGTTCATAAATCATAACTAATATCACAAGTCAGTTCCTGCAGAGTTAATGACTAAACTCATTTGGACATATCATAAACAAACACTGAAATACCAGCATAAGTTTCTTGAGACAGTTAAAAAATCTCTATGAATAATTTAGTATAAAACAAAACAAACAAGTACACATATATGTGTTCTATAACAGTGTGTATCAGCCACAAAAATGATTCATTCTTAAGGTCATACACAATACATTTACAAAGATGTATTCCAAAAAGGGTAAATTGGCTCGGATCTCTATGTAAATGTTCTGCTTAACACAAATGATTGCATGAAAAACAACAACAAATCTGTGTTTAAATTATAAAAAAACACCTAAATCACCTACTATTCAACAGTTTGATATTATGCAAGTTATATAAAAATACATCTGATATGACATACACAACGATAAATATGTATCAAAAAAATTATAAAACCATCTATGAAATAACACTTATCTACAGAACATTTCACAAACTCAACTTTTTTAACTTGAATTACATAAATCAAGAAATATTTAAGTAGTAAATTTTTTTGTTGATAAAGATGCACGTTCAATAACTATAATGCACTGATGATCTGTACCAAGACACTGACATATATAATTTGACAGTGTAAAATTATTCACAATTCTGCTAAGATTTAGATTTTGGGAAAGTATATGGCCATAAAGATTTAAAAGTCATGGTTCTTCTATTTTTTTTCCAAATCTAGGCCAACTAAATGGTCTCACCTCGGCATTCTTAAGAGACTTCAGCATAACTGTGACAGCTTCTTCGTGTGATCTCCCCATCATTCTTCCCAGCTTTTCATACATGGCTCCTATACAGGTAATTGCCCCCCTGGTAAGAAAAACAAAGACAAAAAAAAACAGATTCAAAAACATAAGCAACATCTTTAACACATCTAAGTTATAAATATCAGTTGATATTACTACAAGCAACATCTTTAACACATCTAAGTTATAAAGATCAGTTGATATTACTACAAGTACAAGCAACATTTTTAACACATCTAAGCTATAAAGATCAGTTGATATTACTACAAGTACAAGCAACATCTTTAACACATCTAAGTTATAAAGATCAGTTGATATTACTACAAGTACAAGCAACATCTTTTCTAAGCTATAAAGATCAGTTGATATTACTACAAGTACAAGCAACATCTTTAACACATCTAAGCTATAAAGATCAGTTGATATTACTACAAGTACAAGCAACATCTTTAACATACCTAAGCTATAAACATCAGTTGATATTACAACAAGAACAAGCAACATCTTTAACACATCTAAGCTATAAAGATCAATTTATGTTACTACAAGTACAAGCAACATCTTTAACACATCTAAGCTATAAAGATCAGTTGATATTACTACAAGCAACATCTTTAACATATCTAAGCTACAAAGATCAGTTGATATTACTACAAATACTCACAGTCTTGTCGGTAAGACGCTGGGGGAATCATCTTTGTTTTTCAAAATATCTGTACATCTATTGACTGCTTCGAAGAGGAGAAATGTATCTCCAACACTGAAGAGTGTTGCAAGACATCTTGCGATTAGTCTTCTGGTAGGAGGTCCTGGTGACTCGTGGACTTGATTCAACAACTGTTCTACTAGTTTTTTCTGGCATTCCTTAATGTCTGACTGTAAAATGAAATTACAAAAATGTTAGTTTAAGGCTGAGCCATTAGGATACTGGTCAAAGTGTACTCCACCTTCTTTGTTCCATGGTGGATGAAACCAGAATGAAATAAAAAAAGAAAAAGAGAATAACAGAAAAACATATAAATAAGCAACAGATAAAAAAATAAAGAATGTGAATTGGCCAAGAAGTAAATATTACAAGATGGGGGAAGGGAGTTAAGTTGAAAGGTTGTATAGCTTCCTATTATAGATATTCTAAATTTTTAGATTTTATAAATTATGAAAAATTAGCATAAAAACTTCATCTGAAGCAAAGCTCACTGAGACACAAGCCTGAATTTGGTATACCTTGACCTTAAACACAAAATTATAAATATATTACATTTTTCTTTCTTCTTACTCTACAGCACATTTTATGATAATGCTTGAGAGAAAATAGAAGATATTGTTGCGTCAGCGAGGTCACATGACTAGTGTCACGCCACGTTTCTAGAACTATCCCGTTCCTTCAGGAGTGCTCTAGCATTTACTAGATTGGGGTGGTGGTCTGGTACATTTAAGATGGTCACGGCGTGACGTGATAATGAGTGTGTAGACAGTGAGTAATTGATCTGCAGTCAGAGAGTATTATTAAAGTTGAGCATGTTCGTTGTTATAACGTTTGTTTTAGCACGATTGTTGAAATTAAGTGTATCGTAAAGTTATGTTCGGAAAGAATAAACCAGTTTTATTAAGTAAGGACTTGTGTCGCTAGTTTCATCGGAACGAATTTACGGGAAATCAATTAACAAACGGAGACGTAACAATATTATATAGTTTTGAAAAAATTTATGACAAATACGTTCAAATATATAAATCCATCAGTGACAGTTATTAAAGTTTGTTGACAGCAAAAGTCCAGGCCATTAACTGTAATATACAATAACTGTTTTTCACTTGGTAGCTAGCTTTGCCTCAAATGAAGCAAAGAAATAGAAAGTAAAAAACTCAGTACATTAATCTTCTATCCATCAAAACAGAAGAAATTGCTCAAAATTTCTAAAGCAAGAACAAAACACACATATACTCATCATTACAATTAACAATGTTATAACTGGTTTTTTTATATTAAAAGAACATTTATATTAAACAACTCCTAGAATTAAAACAGTTTGATATTTTTCTTACTAGGAATGTTCCCATGATGAAATAAGATATGCTGAAATATCCAGAAGCTTTTAACAAACAAAGAAACTAGAACTGAGCTTGATTTTAACCTCACAGAAGACTCACTTTGAGCAAAAAAAAAAACTGGTTAGTGTCTAGAAAGCAGCAATCACTAAACATCTAACCAGCTGTGGAAAGGTTAATTGGAACTTAGAGAATAGCTTGTAAATCTCCTAATGGAGAAAAAAATATATACATGTACTGGTATGTTATAGAAAAAATAAATTCTGGTAATCAGCTAAGTGTAACGAAAAACATGCTTTAACAAATTCTTCTCTTACCTTCTGAGCTGCTCCAAGAACTTTATCTAAAAATCGTAACCATTCAAAAACAAAGACTGGCCTTTTTGCTTCAGCTATTTGACTCAATGCCTCCTCATTTAGAGTCAAACTGTGGGATAGTTCCATCATTTTGACTTGTTTATGAGTCTGAAATGGGGAAATATACACGTTTCTAATCAAAACATACATTTTTTTTTCTCTCCTAACTTAAAGTCCGCAGTTAAAATGTGCAAGTACTTTCAAAAAATTCAAAACCCATTTTGATTTTCACAGAAATTAGAAAACACAATGTCATTTGCTTGACTTTGTTTTTTATGCTGTATTTTGTAGAAGAAAAACATGTCTAGCAATCACAAGTTTATTCTACATACATTTCCTTCAGACTATCATGTTAAGAAATGTTGATTTTTCCAAAATCTATTACACACCACAACAAAAATTAAATTTAAAAATACTTAACCCTTTAAGGAATTTTTCTGAAAAATTTACAGCTGGACCAGTGAATGTTTACTGAAATTTATTCTAGAGTCTTTATTATTGGCTGTTTCGAAGATTATAACAAAAGACAGGTTAGAAGCTAATTTCTTCATGATAACTGTGTGCTACATGAAAATGAACATGTCTACTCATCACATTTACAATATTTCATCACTTATTTGAAATTGCTAAACATTGGGTAGTTTGAGGGGGAATACCCATTCTTCATGATGGTACAAAATTAAAATCTCCCAAGGCAGTGCTCTATTGTGAGGCATACATATGCTCATGGCACTGAATGAGTCAAGGCTGTTTTAAGCACAAAACTACATAATGGGCCATCTGTGCTCTGCCCACGGGTGTAGAAACCTGTTTTTAGCATTATAAGCTTTCAGACTTATTGTTGAGACACCGTCATGCAAACAAGTTAAGGCAGCATCATTTTTAGTTTTTACAATCTCGTTTCTTTAACTCTCACTTTGATATCTTGTGTCACGTAGAACAAAATTAAGGGCCGTGGTACATGCTTTCATCAAAACTGTATCTTTACTTTACAATACAGCAACAGTCAAACGTAACTATAAACTGAAATCCATTTTGGTTGTCATTGAGATACCAGTGATGAGTTAATATCTTAATAACTTTGCTACGAAACTTACATAACTGGTTTCAAATAGTAGAGTATACAATTAAGTAGATTTCTTGACCAATAAACAGTGGAATGCAGTATTAATCTCAAGGTTTTCATGCATTGTCCTTGACGTCCAGTGACAAAATAGATTATTAGTAAATATGAGAGATAGCTGCTAAAAACTGCAACCACTACAACTAATAATAACTTCACAGGGTCGTACTGCCCTTTATGTAGTATAGTGATCAAAAGCATTTTTTTCTCTTCAAAGTGTTATACATATTATATTTAGATATAATATTTATAATCATCATGTCATGTATTTTCTTGTCTGTCATAGTCTTATACTCAATTTAGTAGTAATAGCTAGTTGTTAAATATATGATTTATTAGTAATATTAATATAGTAGTAATAGCTAGTTGTTAAATATATGATTTATTAGCAATATTAATGTAGTAATAGCTAGTCGTTAAATATATGATTTATTAGTAATATTAATATAGTAGTAATAGCTAGTTGTTAAATGTATGATTTATTAGCAATATTAATATAGTAGTAATAGCTAGATGTCAAATATATGATTTATTAGCAATATTAATATAGTAGTAATAGCTAGATGTCAAATATATGATTTATTAGCAATATTAATATAGTAGTAATAGCTAGTTGTTAAATATATGATATATTAGTAATAATAACAATTACTTCAATATAAGGAATTTATTCAAAACTGAGTGGCAGCATGATGTATTTTTACAAAGACAAGGTTAAAATGAAATATGAATCTCACTATCTGCTGCGTAGTAGGTAGTAAACAATTAAAAAACATCTGAGTAGCCCCTAGTTTCTTAATATGTGACCTATACATTTTATAAATCTTATTGACTTACCCATTAACTGGGGCAGGAGCAGCTCAGATAAAATTGAGTTGCCATCAATCACAATAAAACGGTAATTTATGTCGTCATTCCCATAGAATTATAGTTATATATGTGCAAATGACGGATATTTCCATCATTCGCAGCTGAGCCATAGAACTTCAATGACGGAAATATCCGTCATCTGCAGTTAATAGGTTGAACAAGATTCAAAACATTTGAATCTTGGCAAAAATATTAATATCCTTATCATAAACATGGAAACAATGCTGAATTGTTAGGAATATCAAGACTGGAACACGATGATGTGAAAGATTACTTTTATTTTCACCCGAGGTAAAATTGAAAATATAATCAATGCCTTAGAAGTTTATTATGTTCTTTGATTGGCTGTACCCTCTTCTGTGGACTGTAGTTTCACCTATTCAAGGCTTATCAGCACAGAAAACCAAAGAAATATAGTTAGGCCTCTTAAAATGGTGATGTGTATATAATATCCATGGAGTTTATCCACTCCTCATTTAGTAACCAATACAAATCTCTAATATCATCATCAAACAGTTGATCCACTGTATAATACCATATAATAAATTTGGTACAATACCACAATATTATTTACATGCCTATGGAGTTTATCCACTCCTCATTTAGTAACCAATACAAATCTCTAATATCATCATCAAACAGTCGATCCACTGTATAATACCATATAATAAATTTGGTACAATACCACAATATTATTTACATGCCTAAATTATTTATGTTATTAAATGGTGAGTTAAAAAGTACTTAAAAAACACCATAAATATTTTAAGCCTGGAACTTAGGCTTCCACGAGTTATGTTCCTTATCGATATAATATATTGTTGCGTCAGCGAGGTCACGTGACTAGTGTCACGCCACGTTTCTAGAACTATCCTGTTCCTTCATGAATGCTCTAGCATTTACTAGATATATGTTAGTCTGGTATATATATAAGACGCTCACAACGTGACGGGACAATGTGTGTAGGTAGTGAGTACACGTAATTGACAAGTGAATAAATCTTGTACCATTAAATGTTAGACAATGCAGTTGCATTACATGTATGATACATTTTCATGTAGAAAGTTTAGGATTAAAAAAAAACTCAATTCTAAATTATTGTGCCTGAAATCTGAAGACAGTGTTTCTACTCGCTTTTCATATTTTTTTTTGGCACCTGTTAAAAGGTTTTCAAACATAAATTTTATATGGTAATTTTAACTATATTTCAACAATTGTAATTCAAGAATATTTCACAATTGACCTCTTGTCATTCAGTGTAATTCATAAAAATAATAAAAAATTCACATTTTCATTTCTGCACAACTGCAAGGAGTTTTGCCTGTAAACCAAACAACCTACTTGATTTATTTTAGAATTTTTCTGCACATCCTAAAGAATACTTTTGCTAAGAACATATCAAGAATTGACAATACTGTATCCACTTCTTGATTTTCAAGCATTTTCCTTAGTTTTTGTATAGGACCCAGTTGAAACACTGTTATAGTGTCACATCGCGTGGTTTAATCATTTACCAATGAAACACAGTTATAATAAAGAGGTTTAAATATTAGTGGATGGAGAAAGAATTAGACTATTACAAAATAGTAAATACACTGGATGCTGCTTATTGTGATCCCTTTCGGGACACAGTTGCATTGATAACAATAACCGAATGATAACATTAACCGATGAAATAAAAATTCAGCAGTTACAGTGATGATTATTGATATGGGGTAGCAAATATATTACCTAAAAGCTTGAAAGCTGGATTTTTATGTTTATTGACATATTCAAAAACAATTAAAACAAGAATTTAAAAAATTAATTTAAAATTGACTTCTAATATTTTATCGGGGCAATTCATTGATAAAACTTTCATATTCATACTGTTTATGAAACTTGCCTGTACTGTGCTGTACACCAAATTGCAAAATTCGAAGCACCTCTCGCATTTCAGCCCTTATTGGAGGTTTATCAGCTTTATGAGCTTCAGCTGCTTTTTCAACTGTCAGCTTAACATGAAACTGAATATTTTAATCAATTGCCATCCAAGCTTCAAAATCATTTGTAGTCATGTCAGGTGGTCTGTCTACAATTTCCTCTGTTTCTTTGCACTCAGTTGTTAAATGTCTTCCATAGTTTCTAAGATTCTGGTGTGCATTTCTCTATGGTAATAAGCCTTTAATGCTCGGATAATTCTCTGACCGAATGGTTGGATCAGTGACTTCGTATTTGCGGGTAAGAAAATAATCTTAATGCATTTTAATGACACATTAACGACATGTGCAGTCCAGTTTTCAACAAGCAGAACGATGTTGTGTTTCAACTCATTATCCCATTTCATTAACCAATCATTAAAGATCAGGGTTGTCATCCAAACAATCGAGTTTGAGCAGTAGTCAACGAGTAACTTATTCACACCTTCAAAACACCATGGGTTCTTGTTTTTTCCAATTACCAAAAGCCTTTTTTTTGTTACAAGACATACTTAGACAGCAGAGGACTGTCACACGTTCCTTCGAAGCTTTATAGCCTTTTGCACTCTCATCTTTAAACAATTAAAGCCCAGTTTCATCTGCATTGTAAACATTATCAGGTGAATATTCAGCAATAACTTCCATTCTTCTTCAATCTGAGTGCATTTGTATACAGCATTTTCCTGTTTTACTCAAACGATTAAACCACCCGTCTGTTGCAACAAAATTATTTTTTCCCATTTTCATAGCTAGCTCTTCTGCTTTCTGCCTCATCATTGGTCCATTTACACGAGCATCTTGTTCACAAACATTAGTAAACCAAAGTTTTAATGCTGAATCAACCTGGTCATCTTTTCCACTGAGCTTTCTCTTACAGTTTAGATTTTAATTCTGTTTTCTTCCCCTCTCAATGTTGGCTTGATTTTTTAAAATTTTACACAAAAAAGGTTGAGAAATTGTTAATTGCACTGCTGCATTATGTTGCCCAATTTTGGGTAACTTATCATAGCCTTCTAAAATGGCAACTTTTACTTTAAGGGTTAGACTTTTACGTTTCTTATGCATTTCTTCCATTATTAAAGAGAGTTAACAAAAATTGAAATTTCTGGGAACACCATATTTCACAAAGGAACGAAAACAACTGTACTATAATTATGTAAAGGAAATGCAAGAGTAAATGAGATCTTAAGGAAAACTTAGCCACACCTTATTTCATGGTGAACCTTCCTCAGGTCGCTTGACTTTGAGATGGTTAAGCCGATTAAAAAACTAACTGCTGATTACAATATACGATGTTTCTCCTATGTATTTATATACGTTTGGTAAGGACTTAGTAATTCTGATAACATTATCCGTCATCATAATAAGCAGTATCCAGTGTATATTGTTTTACAATTTTTTATAGTTTCTGTAAACACTTCTTTTGGTTTCTTTCACTTGTGAATTGTGAAAGTATTTAAGTGTTAAATTATACATAATTTGTGTGCTTGGCATTAGGTATGAACGACAAAAAAGAATGTTTCATCAGATTTTTTGTGCACACCCACCACTAATAAAAGTAAAATTGTAAGTTCTATAATATACCGTATTGCCCCTAATTAATGCCTCCAGGGGCATTGTAAACTGCAAAAGGAGGGGCACTAATTATAGTATTTGTGCAGTTCCAGATTCTATTTTTCACAGTTTACTGATTTTAATGCCAGTAAGTGTTTTTCTTTCTTTTTTCAAATCAAAGTTATGGTAACAAAAGTGGATTACATGTTGAATTACTACTGCTGTCACACGAGGTAAGCTTTATAAAAATACCAGGGTGGGGGCAATAATTCAAAAAAAGTTGAGAAAAATTAAATGAGAATAAAACCTCAAGGGAAGAGACTTTCTGAGAAAATATTATGCTTTTAAATGAATAGAAAAAAATTCTAAATAAAAAATCAATAACTGCTTTGCATACAGGCAAGACTCCTCAGAGTTGTGGAGAAATGTTTGAACAGTTTTTCTTTCTGAATTACACTAAATCAGTGGTCGGCAACCTATGACCCGTGAGTCACTTAGTGACCCGCGGCAATAATTTGGCTGACCCGCCAAAAGTTGGCTTCACCATTGCAACCCGTAAGGGCACAATCATTGTTCAGTTCAAGTTTCTCGGCTATGTGAGAACAACAACGATATTAAAGGAAAGATGGGAAAGAGTCACGGCTACGGAGAATTTTAAGATAAATTTCAGGAAAAAATATCAAACTGGTCGAACTATTAATTTTTTGGTATGTAAATAAACATACACATTTAAAATACATGTACCGGTATTAATAATTATATGATTATCACGAACCAAACACAATGCTAAATTTTTCAAAAAACAATATAATTGACCCGTGATCAAAAAAGGTTGCTGACCACTGCACTAAATAAATGTTATAAAATATTGCTGAAATAGTCAGAACTATTATTCTTACTTAAATAACTATATTTAATAAACAGTTGTGTATTCAACACCTGAAAGATGATCATGGGTCATTATAGGGTTAAAAACAAACTTTTGCAAGTTTAATCAGCTAGTATTTCCCCCAGTCCTATGAAAAAACAGCTCAATGAGACAAAATTTCTCTTTGGTGAACCATATTGGCTTTCAGTAATATTACACTAAATTATTTTGTAAAGCTTTTCATTTTTTACCAATATAGAAGTAAGACTAACGTCCTATAATTTCCAGGGCAACTCTTATAACCTTGTATCTGTTTGTTGATTTACCAAAAACAAGAGACTTACATCTTTCACATTTAAAACCTTAAGCAAAATATGTCTGTCCAAGTGGCTTTATTTTTGATTTCTCATCTTTCTACTTAGCACCACATGACTAATATCTACATGATTCATGTCAATTCCAATATTATTTTTATCTCCTCTTGTAAAACATATGAAAGCTCAGCCATCTCATATTCTTCAACGTAAACCTTACCATCAGCATCCTATGCACACTAATTGTGGACACTAACTTATTACTCTTATCATATTGTAGTATTATACTTGGAACACTCAATGATTCAATCTTTTCTGATCTTACTGGAAGTGCCAGAACACTACCAAATTACTCACGTAGTTTGTTAAGTAATTTTTTAAAATTAATTAATTAATAATGTTCCTTTAATAACAAAATAACTTTGAAAGTATTTCCAATTTTTTGAAGCTTGAAAATTCATTAAATGTAAGATCCTGATTTAAGAAGGAATGTAAACATCTGTTGTTCTTTCTTTTATCAATAAACCAGAAGAATTAACAAGTAAGCAAATACACAGACAGATCTGTATAATTATTGCTACCAAACATTCTGGGTTTGTTGAAATTATCTGTTTTATTTTGTAGTTACACAGTCTTTTTTTTGGTTTCAATAAGATTATGATTGTTCAACTTTAAACTTTACATATTTTTTGTCGTTGTCTTGCTGCAAAGCTACACAATGGGCCATCTGGTATCTGTCCACCACAGGGAATAAAACCACAAATATTAGTGTTACAAGATTGTAAGCTTACCTCTGACTATACATTTGTTACTTTTAAAGTATTTTGCATAAGTGCCATATACTAAATATAGCAAGTGCCAAGTAGTTCTTTTGACATCAGTTGCCTTCTGTTGCACTAATAAATTCTTTCTTTAATAACTGAATAAAAAAAGAAAAATCATTAGATGTAAAAACTTGGTTTAAAGTTAATACCAAATAGAGTTAAACTCATACCCTCCATATAAATGTATATATATATTTTTTCCTAGGCTTCTACTATTTTACTGATGGCGAATAAACATTTAAGGTTTCATATCAAACTTTCAGTGAATATGTCAGTTTTCCCTTTAATTTGAAATTTCTGAAAGTGGACTTAAATTTCTTGTTTGTGTGAGTGGGCATGAGGGTTTCTAATTTGAAAGAATAGGCTATCTTTAATCTTTACAAAATTAAAGAATGGTGAAGCTCTACGAAAGTCTAAACAACATATCACCCACTAAATGTGTCATATTCTTTTCTTAATCAAAATGATTTTATGACACCTTATTGAATATGGTAATGAAATGTACCAAATATCAAGCTGCAAAGAAGGCACATCAACAAGCAAGTAAATCCACTGGGTGCAACAGTGGCCTGATAAGGTACCACAACAAACATACGTGTTGCCCTAAAGAGAAATCCAACATGAAAGCTATTTAAATGTCCGTGTGCTTGAAGAAGATTGTTTCTTTCTGTTTGTGTGTGTGATAAATTACAGTTGACCAATATTTCTAAGTTTAAGGACGATAAAAAGCAAAAATTATGTTTTTTACACAAAAGTAATATCTACAGAGAGAGTATGGATTTAGCTCTTGTTCATAAAAGAAAATGCTGACATCCAATTTAAAACAAATTCGTATATATATATATATATATATATATTGATTTTTTAAGTATTTCTATTCTATTATAAAAAAAACAAAAAACACTCCTATAAAAAGAACTGATTGACAATTACTATACTTTAGAATATGGCACTTAAGCAAATATTTTAAAAGTAATAAATGCAAAATGTTTAAAATTTCACAATTATAATGTCATTGAAATCAAAAGGCTATATAACTTTAGAAATTGAAACAGATAAATCCAGAAAATACAAAATGTTTGGCTGCAAGAATAAATATACTCCTACATGTGAATTCCTAATAAAACATTAAACAGACATTTACAGTCCTTTATAAACTAGGTACTTATATTAAATGAATTTTCGAGCTTTAAAAATCTCAAGATACATGTATGAAGCTATTTAGTTATTAAAGAAACATAGTGAATATAAAACCTACGAGTTTTTTTCCTAAAATTCCAAAAGTTTGGTAGCCTTCAGTGCCATTAAAATCAGAAAAGTTTGAGTGTCACTTGTTCAGTATTATAAAAATAGAAAACCTGCATCCACAGGTTCACAAATAATTGTGCTTATTCACGTCCCCAAATTAGGGACAGCCTTCTTTAATGGTTGAATGTACATTTTAACATATTTCTTACCATCAACATATGTAAAGAAAAAAAAAGATGAAAATCCTTGCTGTTAAAGTTAACTTCAACCAAATCAGTTAGCTGCTTCTTGTAAGACCTTTTTGACTGCGTAATTTCATTTTTACCAAATCTCTAGTTTTCCTACAGTTTTGTAAATCTTTCACCATATCTCTCTCAATTTATGAAGTTACAGCATTTATCACTGATTTTCTCCTTTATCATTTTTATGTCTTTACTCGTCTTTAAACTTTAGTATGCCAGTCATTTTCTCTTTTTTTAAGAACATGTATATCTTGATTTAAGTTTCCAAAATATTTACGGGATAAATCTCACTCTGTCCGAGTCACGGTAAATAATTAACTTTACGGAAATTCCTTACTTAAGTAAATAAAAAAAAAGAGAAAATAAATTTGCTACGTCTAACAATAATATCATTAAATTAACTTGAATTAGAATAACTTGTACAACGTAGAACTTAAAATGAAAATTAACCTATTAGAATTAGGTTATTAGAAAAAGAATAGGATACACAGTAAACAGTCTAACTTGACTTTCTGAGGTCTAAATTAGAAAATAAACTTATGTTATAAATACAAAAGTCGGGCCAACTTACTCAATAAACTAAGAAGTCAATTACTAAGTCAGAATAATATAATGAATCAAAACCTAAATTATTTTGATCATTAATATAAACACTGACAAATATAAATGAAACCTCAATGTTTTCAATTCTTCTAACTCATATAAAACGAAGATCAATAACAATATTAGAACCCAGTAACTACTCAATTCAACATACTAGGCCTACTGCCAAATTACGTCTTCCGATTATGGCGATAAAAATTGTTACTCCACCTGCAATTCTAATACGATCAAAACAAATATAAAATATTATGTATCTACTTTGTTTTTTTTTTTTAATGTTTTAAAATTATTTTTTGCAGTTTTCAATGCTTGTTTCACTACAGATATCTAATATTGTCCTAAGTATTTTGTTTATTTATTAATAAATATATCCTGGAGGCAATTTAAAAATAAATACAAATATATAATCGCAAAGTAATTTTATAGAAATTTAAAAACTATACTATTCTGTGTTCTGAATACATGCGGATTTCATGTAACAAATGATCTAAAAAACCGATAGTTTTCGAACTACCTCTATTTCTTTGTTGTTCTCGAAATAGATAATACCTGTAATCGCTCTGGGTAAGAATTACGATGTCGCATAAGAATGTCGACAGCAGTGTCATTTATCGGTTGTTCGGGTGATATCTTGAGGTTACGAAGGTTACTTTAGTGAATCCTTACACACGTTTGAATTTGGTAAAGTGGCAACATCATAGTTATCAAGAAAATCACCTTCAGTAGGGACGAACTGCCGTGATCAGCAGATTCATAAGACATCTTTAAACAACTCTCAAAATAAGTATATAAAGTCCTTCGAAAGCTTTCAGAATTAAGATTTTCTACAATGAGATAATACAGTTGTGGTATGCAAGCATTCTATCCATTACCTATCCTCTTAGTTGACATTTATAATTTTTCAACATTTCTGTGCATATTGAATATTTTTGTATTAATATAGAAAGTCAGTCAAGGGAGTCACTAACTTCCTCTCACCATAGTTATTGACTGAACTAAGTCAGTCAACCTTGGTGTCACATGTTCTAACTTTTAGGAAAGGTTTCTCTAGCATAGCAAATACTGAAGATCGTTCTTGCTATATTTTCTCTTGGTATATCGGGTGATGCTCCGGAGAAATATCATTCCTTAGTTTAAAATGAGTGTGGTCATCAATCACGTGAGTAACACCTGCATCCTAAGAAGAATCGTATTGTTGTTGCTATATGTAATACCATGTTTTCTCAGTCATGAAGAACTTTAAGTTGGATGAACAACTTTAACGTTTACTCCTGATAATAACAACCTATTAACCTTTTGAATAGAGAATACTTTTGATATAAGTTCAACTTGAACTGTTCAGAGCTTTTACATAGCTTGCCCCCCAGTAGCACAGCGGTATGTTTGCGGACTTACTACGCTAGAAACCGGGTTTCGATACCCGTGGTGGGCAGAGCACAGATAGCCCATTGTGTAGCTTTGTGCTTAACTTCAAACAAACTTTTACACAACTTAACATATCTTTCCAGTAAAGAAGATACAGTTACACTCGTCTATTACTTTCATCATAATGTGAGTTAAATATTGTTACGACAGCGGAAGTCGCGTGACTTTGGAAGCATGCGTGCTGGAGTTTCTAGAATTATCGGGAAACCCCGCGAATATCCCAGTGTTTGCTAGACGCCCTCTTTTTTTAGTATATAAGCCTGGCAAAAAAAAGCCAGCGACATGGTCAGATAGATTGCAGAGATAAATAACTGAGTCAAGCGTAAGTAAAGTGTGTGAATCATTGTGATTTATAGCGTGTTATAAAGGTTATTAAGTTTAAAGTGAAAAGAAAAGAAATACAAACTACGTTAAGTGAACGGCTAATGAAATAAAATAACTGATTCTTCTGGAACAATGAATATATATATATATATATTGTTACGTCTCCGTATGTTAATTGATTTTCCGTAACTTCGTTCCGACGAAACTTAAGCGACACAAGTCTTTACTTAATAAAACTGGTTTATTCTTTCCGAATATAACTCTGCGATACACTTAATCTCAATACTCGCGCTAAAACAAACACTATAACGAACGAACGTTAACTCCAACAATATCCTGTGACTGCAGTTCAATTACTCACTGTCTATACACACATTACAATCCTCTCGCGTCACGTTGTCCCCTCTTATATATACCCGCCTACCCTATCTAGTAAATACTAGAGCATTCATG